TATGGAATATTGTTATTCCGTCGGAAAGTGGGCTTCTCGTTACCGGGCCAGGTCATCTGCAACAACCTTGAAAGTTCCTCCGTTGACACATCTTGGTGCTTATTGTTGCACAGGTAGGCGACCAACTACCTGATTTGTCTGATTCTGGCTGTTCTGGCCTTTGTTTGTTATATTATTTGAGTCTCTTTCGTTCCAACTGCTCTCTTTCATCACCGCAAGCTCCTCGCTATCGCCATTTGTCTACCGACGAACGACGCACGGCATTAGAAGTTGTCCACACAAACACTTTTGTCCTCAAACCCGTTGCCCAGCAGGGCCTTGACATTGCTCCCTGCCATGGACTCCATGAGGTCCCTCAACACCTCTCTTCCGAGCTCGACACCCCGCCCGCAACCCCCGGAGCTACTCCTCCAGCAATTCAAGGCGGCGGCTCTGTCTGTCACAAACCTGTACAAGAATGCAGTATGTGAACAAGCCCATGCAAGGTCATCAGGATACCAGGAAGCGATAGAGGATCTGCTCCACTTCCTTGACCGTGAGAACCTCGGTCTCGGAGACGGAGAGGGGTGGAAGGTCCGACAATGGGCAACTGAAAAATGCGACGGAACTGGATCACAGAGCAGCGATGAAGATACAGAGGCAGACAAGCGTGACCGAAGTGCTACTCCGGCTACTGTCCGCAAAGAAAAACCTACACCCGAAACAATTTCTCGTCAGCCCCCCACTTCAGTGCCCGTACCCGCATCTAAGCCAGAGGCAATCACTCCTCCCACACAACTCCACGAAACATCTTCTTTCGCCACGCCTGCCGTCTTCACATTCTCTGCCGGTCCTACATACCCTCAGTGTCAGGAGCTCGACATGGATGTGCAGTCGTCAGACAACTCATCTGCGACCATGCAAGACGCTCCTGTGAGCGTGTCGGTGATGCCCCGCAACAGTCGGCCACACCATCGTCACAACAACCACCCACGATCCAACGCGCGCATTTCGCCACGGGAGTCCCCTGCTAGTATTGGGTCCAAGAGGAAATTCACTTTCCCAGATTTCTTTGATCTATCAGGACTTAACAACGGACGAGATATGTCAGGAGGGGGTGGGAAACGAGGCCGCTTTACCTAGGGCTTCCCCTGGGTAAAGCATTATATGATGACGAAGTGACGACCATTCCCTTCTGATTGTCACACAGTGGCTGGTTGAAATTCCGGGTATGAAGGTGCTTTTCGGGTGCATAACAAGGGACTTTTTGCATATGGCTTTTTTTCTTTTTGGCTGCTGTCTTCCTTGGGTTTCTTTGATCTTTTTTTGTCTCTTTTTCTTATCCAATTCCCTCTTCCCCTTGTCATATAGCATATAGATGCGGATATTCCCGATACCCGGAGTGGCAATTATCATTGGCTTGCAACTAAATAACAATCAATATCTTACAAAACTTCCAACCTGCACTTCGCTATCAAACAGCCTGCTCGACCCCGGCCTTCGTCACATCCATATGCTTCGGTATATGTTCAATATAAAATGCTCAATTAAACGCCCGCCACAGCCCCATTCCCACTAATGTCGCTGAAATCGAAAAGATCCCTAACTTTCGCGAGCCCATTTTGTATTTTGAGGGGCCTTGCATGATGGCCTTCTCTTGTTTCCGGAGATTGGCCATTCCAGTGTAGTAGCTGTAGACCCCCAGGCCCATAAAAGCAGCAGATCCTGTTGCCGAATATCAGTACCAAATGCTTGTAATACCAGCCCGAATCACGGGCTAAAAATAAACATACCAGTCACTCTGCAGGCCAGACAGTCGTCGTACTTGTCCTCGGCCAGAGCCTGCTTGGCGTCTTTCAGCTGGGTAGCCATGGCGCGCTTTTCAGAGGAGATGAATGTGTTTAGTTCGTATTAAAATATATTCAGGACAAGAACAAGAAACAAACGCAGACCGTACCACCAGAGCCCGGTTAGTATGATTTGATGCCTGTTGTCTCGAAAAAGTTATCGGAAAGCGGAAATCCGCGGCAAAACACGAGAGCTATGCAATCTACGCCGACACATGGATCTCATCATCAGACAACAGTCACCATGAGCGGCGAGATTGATGCCGTTTACATATATGACGAGCAAAAGTGGGATATTCCGCGTCGGCTTGCAAGACCACACTAACCCGTCTTCCCAGCGCCCCCCTCGTCGAACATGTATATCGATCCCGCCCGCCCTCGGCCTCCGCCATCCTGCCCCTCTACCTTGCCCATGCCGAACCACGCCCTTCCTTGCTGTACATTCCTAGCGCTTCACCGCCGGTGACGGTATTCTCGACAGTTGAGTCGAATCTGTTGTTTCTTGCAATAAGCGAAGTCGACACGGAGCCGCTTCTGGCGCTGGAGTTCCTGCATCGCGTGATCGATGTACTTGAGGACTTTGTTGGAGCACCGCTGCTCTCAACTAAGATCCAGGCCAATTATGATGTTGTTGCGCAGCTTATTAATGAAATGTGCGATGGAGGAATAGTATGCAATACCGAACCCAATGCGTTACAGGAGGTTGTTGAGGTTCCCGGGTGGATGGGGAAGCTGCTAGGTGGGATTGGGTGAGTAGTCTTGACTTGATAAACGATATTATCTGGCATTAATGTGTTCGCCTGGATTTAGTACATCTACGCCAACGCTAGGATCTACCAATCCTCTCAAGCAATCTCTCGCTGCCGGCAGTGCATCACAAGGACCCGCCATTCCTTGGCGACGGCCCGGTGTACGACATACCTCTAATGAGCTATATGTCGACATCATTGAATCCCTCTCTGTTACTATGGCTCCTTCAGGACGACTGCTGTCTGCATTGGTATCCGGGACCATTGCATTCACTGCGAAAATATCGGGAGTCCCGGACCTACTGCTATCGTTATCAGCGCCTGGTGGCCAGCATGTCCTTGGTCGCAAGATCGAACTACCGGTATTTCATCCATGTGTTCGACTGGCTCGATGGAAGGAACGGCCGGGTGAGCTCAGCTTCATACCTCCCGACGGGCGGTTTATCCTGGCTGGGTACGAAGTGGATCTCCTTCCCATAGATCCTGATCTGGATGAGGCACCAAGCCATATGGAAAAGCTTTTCCTACCTGCTATTGTGGATATCCGTAAATCACTCGGGTCATCTGGTTCTGAATTTGAGGTTCGGCTGACTTTGAACCCAAATTTCCCGGGCCAAAGCTCTTCCCGGCCTGGAGCTACCCGAAGCGGATCCGGGACATCAACACCGTCATTCCTAGGCGGAGGCGGAAGTGGAAGCTCCGGACCGGCCCTTGAAGAGGTTGTCGTCAGCGTACCGATCTCAAAGTCTGTCCGCCATATCACGGACATGCAGGCCAGCCGTGGTGACGCTCAATTCTCCCCCTCAAGTGGGCTCCTCGAATGGCGGGTTCCCACTGGCAAGGATGCCGGAACACTGACAGGAACTGCCACACTGCGTTGCGGGGTCTCGGGCTATCCATCAGCTGATGATGACCTTGATGACAGTGTCGAGGATGCCGACGAAGATGCCAATGCCAACCTCCTGCAAGGCTATTACGAGGCGCCTACCTCCTACAACGATGCATCTGCCAGCACATCAAAGAAGACTCGATCCTCAGACCCCTCCAAGCGCAAAAAGAAGAAGAAGAAGTCCACAAAGAAATCCTCCCGTTCCGCTGCCTTACAACCAGAAGACGCGGAAGAAGACCCCGTTGCAGCTACCACCCCATCCCCAAATCCCTCCATACACAAAACTCCCACACCCCCTCTCCGATCACAATCCCAGGATAACGCCCACCTCCCCGCGTTCTTCGCTCCATCATCTACATCCCGCACCCCACGCAGAACCAAAGCCCAGGTCAATGCAAGCCTAATGCCTAACTCGGCGTCGGTATCCTTCTCCGTGCGAGGCTGGCTCCCCTCTGGTATCAAGGTGGAAAGTCTCAACATCGACCAGCGTCGCAGTCGCGGCTTAGGCGAGGGCGTCAAGCCATACAAGGGTGTCAAGTACCTGTGCGTGAGTAATCGCGGCGTTGAACGGCGCTGCTAGAGCCAATGTACTTGACTTAATTCCTTTTTCGGCTAGCTAGATGAACCGAGGCATTTGTCTGATTGGATAGCGCATTTGACAGCACGAATGATGATATAAATGTTGGATCTGTCTAGATTCTCAATGAGCGGTGTACCTTGTAATGCTGTAGGCTAGTGGGGTTCTTGTTGTTCCCAATTTTGGGATGTATGGCTCCAATTGGAGCCATTCCAAATTCCTGATGTCTAGATAAGCTACACACTCACTACAGGGTAAAAAGCCTCGAAAGCAAAAAAAGACTTGAATGGATTACAAATATACATAGCTCTCAAATATTCGTAACAAAAGCATCAATCACCAAAAGTAAAAAGAGCAACTAAATCCAACAAGTACATACTTACCTACATGGCAAATTTATTTACGTGGCACTATAGCAAAAAGATCCTGAAGTCATCCACACATCCTAATCCAAGCCGAAGCCCAACTTCTCCATACCAAAATAAGGAGTGATTGACCGTAGATCGTAAGCGGGGTATCCAAGTTCAGGGGCAAACGTATGTTCATGTTCGCGTTCACAATTTCGCAGATCGGCGTTCGAGGATCTGGAGGACGACGTAGGCAACTATTAATGGTTAGACTGTGATTTTCAAAAGCTTTGATGATAATGATCTGCGGGTTGAAATGATTGGAAGAGAAGCGTGAAGATGGGCATCCTCGGCGTGGAGAGAACGGGATCAAGCCAGCACATGAGGTTAGGGGTATATGGGATAGGCAGAGATTATGCGTCTTCATCGTTGGAACCATGTAAGGAGCCACGGGGTTGGTGTAGGGATCTCGGAATTCGCTTCTCCTCGTCTGAAGAAAAGAATTCTCCAATATTGATCGGACCCACCCACGAGACGGATTTGTGCAAGATGTGGAAAATATCCACAGAAATGGCAAGAATTTGGCAAGAACAGAAAGAAAATTAGAAAGGATCACTTACTGGCAGCAAGAGCAGTAGCCCTGAAGGCTCCAGCCTTCGCACTACCTCCACCCAAAGTGAAGATGCAGCGCAGCAAGCCCATACCCAGCTTTTTGCCGCTGCGGTCAAAGTCGGGGCTCAGAGCGCTGGCAGCATTGAACGTGCTGATCTTTCCGGCATACGGGGGGTAGCGGATAGCCAGGATGCCCTCCAGCCAGCTTGGGCTGGAGGTGATGGTGCGACGGTGCACCCAGACGTCAAAGCTGGCGCGGCCGCGGTAGGCACCGTGGCCACTCTCGCCGACACCGCCAAAGGGCAGAGTTGGGATGTGGAGCGCGGCGTCGTTGCAGGAGACGCCACCGGAGCGGGTTGAAGCAATAACTAGGAGAGAGGGTTAGAATAGATCAGATAGACTGAAAACAAAATGGAAACTTACTCTTCTCGACATCAGCCTTGTTACCGAAGGGGTAGAGACCTAGCGGTGTGCTCTGGACGCTATTGGCCACGCTGATGCCTTCGTCGAGGCTATCCACAGGCAAGATGGGGATGAAGGGACCGAAGCTCTCCTGCGAGCACAGGGAGTCCTCAACCGAGTCGACCAGGACAACGGTCGGCTCGATGAAGAGCTCCTTCTCATCCATAGTGCCACCCATGACGATCTTGCCCTTAGTATTATCAAGCATGGTCTTGAGGCGGTTGAAGGCAGGCAAGTTGACGATGCGCGCGTAATCAGAGGAGCCCTTGGAACCATTGGGGTAGAACTCCTTGTAGGCGTTCTTGAACTCCTGTACGACCGCCGGAACAAGCGATCTTTCGACCAGCAGGTAGTTCTGCGAGGTACAGATCTGGCCGGCGTTGAGGAGCTTACCCCAGAGCAAGCGGCGGGCGACGAGACGCGGGTCCGCGCTCTTGGCCACGATGGCTGGGTTGATACCACCCAGCTCGAGCACGACGGGAGTCAGATTCGGTGCAGCGGCCTTGGCGATGATGCGTCCAACGTTGGCGCCGCCTGTGAAGAAAATCTTGTCCCACCGTTCGGCAAGCAAGGCCTGTGTCTCGGGGATGCCGCCCTGGAGGACCATGTAACATGAGGGGTCGAGGCTCTCCTCAATGATCTTCTGCATGACGGCCGCGCTGCGGGGGGCATTTTCGCTGGGCTTGATCACCACTGTGTTGCCGGCAGCGATAGCACCGATGACGGGGCCGAGGGTCAACTGGAAGGGGAAGTTGAAGGCACTGGAATAGGGAAGAGCCTTGTTAGCCTTCGGGGGGTATTCTCATGCGCATCGTGGGGGATGGGGGTAGCATACCCAATGACCAGCACGGTACCCAGGGGATCCTTTCTGATCTTGGGATTCATGAACTTGAAGGCGAGATCAATATCGTTGGCCTTCTCATCCTTGGCCCATTCGTGCAGGTTGCGCGTCGTGAAGACAATGTCGTTCAGGAGCCACCCGCTCTCTGCGAGGTTGGTTTCGAACCGAGGCTTGTTCAGGTCCTGGGTGCAGGCCTCCATAATGGCCTCCTCATTATCTTTAACACTGTAAAACTGTTAGTTAAATGACCAGGAAGACAAAAGAACCCAGTACTCACGCCCAGTATAGCTTGCGCAGCTGGACGAGACGGAACTCCACATCACGGGTCTTGTTCTCATTAAACGCCTTGCGGGCCGTGGCGACGCGCACAGGAATCTCCTCCAGCGGAACAGTCTTAAATTCGGGTAGTTCGACCATGATGAAGATAAATTAAGATAAATTAAGGTTAGAAAGAGAGGTGGAAAGTGAGCGGTTGTCTACGGATATTATATAAATAAGTGGATGTGGGCCCCGATAATAGCATAATGGGATCTACAACGGCTATACCTAAAGTAATTTTACCTAGGCAAATTCCACCACTCTGATATCAATATCCCTCCGTACGTATGTCTATGTCTCCATAATTCATGCCATGTCTCCGTACTCCGTACCCCTATTAGGTGAAGGCCCCGCACTTGTCCCAAGCTCTCGGCTCATTCCTTGTTTTGGTCTTTACCGATGCCTCCTTTTTATGTTTATTCTATTTTGAGGACATAAATCCAAGGGCTAACCGGTATTGAGTGTCACGCCGAGATAAAGAATAACCGCGGCTTCACACGAAGTGCGCTAGAGTATGACCGGCATGACGCTTCCTGCAATCCTATTATGTTCTAGACGAATTAAAAAGTGGAGCCAATCTTATTTTGATTATTAATTGGTGCCGTCTTGGTCGACTAACTAGATGTAGTTAGAGAAATATTTAGTTATGTTCCAGTTAGTGAGTTATCCAGTCCTGGGGGGGAATTTAGTAAACATATTTACAGCATAACAACCACAAAGATAGCAATGCATGGAGTTATTACCAACTCTACTGTCCGCAATTTTCAGCTGTACATACATTAGCTGCAAAAAAGTAAACGAGTACAGTAATAGTCGATCGACATCCAATTCCAAGTAGATAATTAGCCTTTGCCCGGCACAATTTTGTCTCAAACATTCTTCGGCCGATGTCCTAACCAGCTCCCACCTAATCCAGGAGTATGCAGGCGCTTTCTTTGCCCTAGGATAACAACTTTGATACCTGATAGTGGGGGTATAGGCCCTTAAGCTTGGTACTCTTAGTTGCTATATTATTGTAGTCCCTAGACGGGGAGGGCAATCGCCAATAGTCGTGCTCTCGAATCCATGCATCCATATGTGATACAGTATATCAGTTCCTTGCCTAGAATCTCGCTTACTACATTACTGTACATAATGAACTTTGTCCAGCTGGCTCTTATGATCGTCACAGATAATTAGCGTGCTAATTGCGTACTCGATCATTTGATTTCGGAGGTGGGCATGGATAGATTGTGGGATTCCTAGCTGAGTACGGAGTACAAGTAGATTCTACAGAAGTGGCACCATCTGATAGGCTTTGAATGAAATATCGGGATTATCGCGAATCGCGATCCATCCATTGGACCTCGAGATGCTATTTTGTACACGTGATCAGCCGTTCACCATAAATCATGTGACTATATCTCTTGATCCCTGTCTGTTTAACACGGGTATCTTACTCCTTTTTCACTATTTTGGGGTTCACTGTTTGCATTTTTCTGTCTATAAGAGTGACCCGACAAAACAATATCCAACAAAGACACCGGAAAAGACAAGAAAGACCCAGAAAGACCGAGAAAGACACCGTATCCATCTCTTCTCTTTTGCTACAACATAAGCATCACAAACCACCCAAGACTTACTATGCGACTATGCGGGATATGATTGGCTAAGGGAAAGCGGGGTTGTTACTTTGTTTGCTCGCTCCTACCTAGAAAAGGCGACACAAATTCACCCTTCCTTCCCTTCATCGAGTTTCTCACTCTGTATCTCATCTTGGAAGAATTCGCCAGAAATGGAGCCAGACGTATCCGAGTTGCGCCGACTTCTGGCAGAAGCTCAACAACGCGAGGCAGAATCTCGACAACGCGAGGCAGAAGCTCGACAACTTGCGGCAGAAGCTCGACAACGCGAGGCCGAGACCCGACGTCAACTAAGTGAAGAAAGGATCCAGACTCGAGATACCACTCTTCCCGAGTTTCTCGATGCTTGCCATGTTCACTTATTTCTTGGCATGAATGTACAAACCTGTATAGATTCATCGACCAAAGGCGACCCGGCAAATGCAGACAATAAGCTTCGCCCGGCTAGGATCCGAGAGTGGGTGGAATTTCCACAGGAGCAGACAACTATATGGGATAATCTCATGTGCGTTGATCTTGTCGTCCAGCGCCACTTTACGCCGAGGCATACGCTAGAGCGATATGGGCAAGATGTTCAAGGAATGATGGGCTCGGAGCTCGATCTCGGCTATTTTGAACGGTTCACGATCGAATTGCGTGTCGCCGAGGTCATAAAGAAGCTGTATGCAAGTCCTCAACTCCGACGAGTCTTCCACCTCAATGGGGATGTGACCTTCGAAAACCATGCGAACACATTGACGGACGAATCAGAGATAGTGGCCGATATGGGATCTCTGAGCTTGACGCAGGGACAACCGCGCCGCTCACAGCGATTAGCCGCAAAACAGTCGCATACTTCTCAACTTCAACTTACGGCTCAGTCAGTTGCGAATGATCAAAATCCTATGCTGCGAAAGCCCTCTAGACCCCGAGCGGACCAGTTCTGTGTGTACAACAAAGGCCCCGAAGAAAGGGTCCCTGCCTTCATTGTCGAATACAAAGCGCCACATAAGCTCACGCTTGCTCATATAAAGGCTGGGCTCTCGGACATAGAGCTCGACGACGTGCTTTGTTATCAGGAAGTTGAGAAGCCAGAAGATACTTGTCGGCGCGTTGTGGCTGCAGTCATCACACAGGCGTTCTCCTACATGATCAAAGCAGGGCTGGAGTATGGATATGTGTGTACCGGCGAAGCATTCATATTTCTTCGTGTTCCACACGATGATCCTTCCACCGTGTACTATTATCTATCGCTGCCGAAAGAAGATGTTGGTGATACAACTGGATGGACCGGCAACACAGGCGACGATAACAGATTACACTTGACAGCACTCGGCCAGGTGTTGGCCTTTACCCTCCGAGCTTTGCAAACACCGCCGCGAAGTATTCAGTGGAGAAACTCGGCAGCAAAAAATCTGGACACATGGGTAATGGTGTATGCAGACCTTTGGGAGGAAGCAGAGAAGGTGAAGGATGTACCCTGTTCAGATTCCGATTTCATGTCCCCAAAGAGCAGAAACAAATACTGTCGTATGTCTCCCGTCAAGACACGATCAATGCCTACTGCACTTTTTGAATCCTGCGTTCCGTTGGAGGTTCCGAGTTCGTCTGGGTTTGATGATTCTTCCGACGAATTCGACTCAAATACCCCCAGTCGAAGGCCCCGGGATTCCCGCTTCGCCGGTTCTTCACCCTTGCCACCATCATCAACTACAGTAATATCCAGAGGAGGCTCTTCCTCACAGGGCAAATCTCGCCAGTATTGTACACAGCAGTGCCTCTTAGGCTTGGTCACGAGAGGAAGATTAGATGAGAAATGCCCCAATGTGCGGGATCATGGAGTTGGTCGACACTCAATCAGTCAGGTGACACTCATTAGTCTCCTCCATCGACAACTCTCCATGCATGACCCGCGGCCTGACTTGGAGATAGGATGCGATTCCTTGCATATTCATGGCTCACGCGGAGCCCTCCATAAAGTGACATTGCTGTCTCACGGGTATACTTTCGTTGGCAAAGGGGTGCCAGTCGAGTTCGTTAAATACGCCCAACATGAGGAAAGTGTGTATTCGCGTCTTCGACCAATACAGGGGGTGCACGTGCCGGTTGTACTGGGTGGCTTACCTCTCCGTCAACCATTCTCTTACGACGGCATCGCGGATATTGTACATTTGACGTTGATGGGGTATGCGGGCAAGACGCTGGCTAAGCCACACGATGTTGAACCAGATTGGTTAATTAAAGAAGCCGAAGTCTCGCTACATGCTATTCACGCATTGGGCGTGCTTCACAATGATCCAATCGCCGGAAACATGGTCTGGAATAAGGACAGTGGTCGGGTAATGTTCATTGACTTTGAGCGAGCACAGCTCCAAAAAATACCACGGCCTCCCCTGGAATCTTTGTCGCCAAATCAAAAGCGCAAGCAAGCGACGGATGCATGGGAAAAGGCTCCTAACAAGCGCTCTACTCGCTTCGAGTGTGAGATTCGGACCTTGAGGCATGTCGGGATATGGCGTAAAGCTCATTAACTAATTTGCTTCTGCCCAGCGGTGCTGGTGCACGTCTGACGGCTGGAGACAACTTACTGACTCCTTGATGAATATTTCAGCGACTGATATTGGAAGGAGGGGCGCATTCTTCATTAAATTTTCTTATGTCCTAATTCAATGATTCGATGATTCTTGTTATGTCTTTTTACTAGTACATCCCTATTATTAAACCGGTGAACATGCACCTTGTGCTTGACTCTAAATGTGCTCTCTTTCTTGATTATGGCAATTCTTCTAGGGTAACTAAATCAAGTTCGCTAAGTGTTATATATTTAATAGACAATATATATTCAGGGTCCTTTATGGGGCGCTAACTTCTCTATTTTTATCCATCTTCAATGATAATTTGTTAAATATCCACCCGTCTAATAATGATTAACTTTGCTAGGTGTCCTTGTTCAGCACTAATTTATACTTTGAACGCGGAAGAACATCCTCCCTCTAGGTTTACACTATAACTTAAATAACCACCAAAAAAGTCACATTCATTCAAGATGTAAATCAATTATGTCGTGATTTCCAAAATGCAAAATAAATCGGCCCCCACTCATCCAACAGGAGAGCAAGACCGACAGGGAATCAAGTCAAGACTATAGAAACAAAAAGGAAAACGCCACAATCAACATACACAAGACATCAAGCACATATATAGAGATAGACAGCCAAACCATCAGGGTATCAACATGAGCCGCACCGAACAAATCAGTTCTTGAACTGATCCTCGGTCACACCCTTACCCATAGCAGCAGTGCTGCTCACACCACCGGAAACCATCTTCAGCAAGTTATCCACGTAGTTGGCACCACTCCACTTCTGGTGGGTGACGACGTCGACGCCCTCCTCCATCTCGGGCTCCTGCACGAGCTCGCCGTAGGCGCGCATGCCGTGCTGGGAGAAGGCCTTGGAGAACTGGTGCGAGATAAGCGCGGTGGTGTGCAGGCCGGCCAGGGTGATGAACTGCCACGCGTAGCCGAGCTCGCCGAGACGCTTGATGTAGGTCTCCTGCTCGTCGCGGGGCATGGCCTTCTTCCAGTTGAAGGAGGGGGACAGGTTGTAGGCGAGTTTCTGCTCGGGCCACACGGCGTGCACGCCGTCGGCGAATTCCTTGGCCTGCTTGTAGTCGGGCAGCTTGCTCTCCATCCAGATGAGATCGGCGAAGGGCGCGTAGGCGATGGCGCGGTTGACGGCGCACTGGGTGCCGCCCTTGTAGCGGTAGAAGCCCTCGCGGGTGCGGGGGGAATCCCAGTTCCAGAAGATGTCGACGCCGGTGAGGTTCTTGGCGATGGCGCGGGATTCGTTGTTGCTCTTGCCCTTGGAGGCAGCGAGGTACTGGTCGATGAGGCTCTTCTTGTTGGCGTGGGAGCCGGCGTTGATGGTGTCGATGACGGCTTCGTTGAAGAGCTTGAGGCCGGCCTGGGCGGTCCATTCGTCCTCGATGGCCTGCAGCTGGGCACCGTTCTTGCCAGCCTGCTCGGCGGCAACCATCAGGTCGTTGAGATCCTTGATGGTGGGGTTTGTGGAGCCCACGATGAAGGCGTGGTCGCGGTAATCGATGGTGGAGGTGAGGAGGGTGGCGGCCTCGGAGTCGGTACGGGCGATGGCGAGGAGGTCGGAGCCCATGATATCGGCCTGGGCGCGGATGGCAACCAGACGGTTGATGTGCTCGCTGATGGGAACGAGGACCTTGCCGGCCATGTGGCCACACTTCTTTGTGCCGGGGGCCTGATCTTCGATGTGAATACCGGCAGCACCACGCTCAATGAAGAGCTTGGTCAGCTTCATGATGGCGGTCAGACCACCGTGACCAGTGTCGGCATCGGCGATAATGGGGCGCAGGTAGTCAACGTTGGCGACGGTTCCACGCTGGGCTGCGGGGGTAGTAACACGCTCCTCACGTTGTTTCCGGTCGTGGAAGAGTTGTGCCAGGAACAGCTGGTTAACCTTGCGGGGCACGGTGTCCTGTAGAATGATTGTAAGTATACATCCACACTTTTGATATCGTATTATCAACATACCATAGGGTAATCAGCCAGATCAGGGGAGGGCTCGTCGGTCGACGAAGCCGTGGAGGAGCTTTGCCATCCAGAGACGTAGATAGTATCGAGGAACTTGCACATCTGGGTGATCATAGTAGGCTCAAGGCATCCGTAGGTGTAGCTGGCCTGCTTCTTCTCGAAGTTTGATTCAACAATGCGCCAGAGCTTCTTCGCTTGCACGTTGGAAGGGTACTCGATCTTGAGGTTGCCACGCTTGGCCACAATCTGCTCGGCTGTGAAAGGGCGCTTGGTGTAGCGCCACCGAGAGTCCTTCCACCAGTTTTGAACGGCCTGAACCTCTGCCGCGAACTGGCGGTCCTCATCTTCGTAGAGACCCATGACTTTTGGTATAATACAGAAAAAGGGTAAAGATAGTAAAGATATAGTCAGATAGTATATTCAGGCGTGCAGGTAGTGTCACGTCTGTTCTGAAGCTTCGAATATAGAATGAAGCAAGGTAGGAAGGGATATAGAGGGAGGAGGAAGAGAAGAGAAGCTATAATAAAAAAGAGGAAACGGACAAGCCAGAAAACCCGGGGTACTTATTAAACATTCAAATGCGTCACAGTCGGTAAACGCTCGGCTCACCGGGAGTCAGGCGAATACCTCGCAATGCCTAGGCACTCTTCCAATGGGTTCCAATCATTCAGGAATCTTTCACGGGCAAAGTGCTCCGAAAGGCGGAAGGCGGGTCTCGGAAGAGAGGATCCAGGCTCAGATCCTCGGTCTAATGGGACAACCCTTTGCCACTGGGTTTTCGAAATCTGCCATTAGTGTCACAATAATCGGCATCTCACTGGAACGTCGAGGGAGTTTCATTCCATGTGCTTTTTCCTCTCGTTTCCCCCTCGATTCCACGTTGGCGTGAGATGTTGAATGCTCGATTTTATGTGGAGATGGCCGGATGACGTCGAAGACACATGCCATGACCGTGACAATACGGGACATATCGTAAGCTAATTTTCACGTGCATCGACTGCATTCGGAGCAATGTTCATGGGGAATAATATTCAATAATACAATTTCAAATAGACTAGGAACTCCCCGTAATATCACGCCCGTCTGGCCAATTGCAAGAATCGCCATTCGGAGAGAAAAGCTGCCCAGAACCTTGGGAACGAGGTCTGCCTGAGTCATCCTTGCTGTTTTGTCATGCCCCGGTATTCGAAAGGTATCCACCAGGCAAATCCTCAAGATCCCTTTGACTTGAGTGTTCCTACCATGGAATGTGTTTTGGCGATTTTCGGCGTTTATTGTTGTGGTGCGCACACAAGTAGACGTAGATCAAGTTCTATAGTCTCGAAGCTATACAGTCTACATCCTCGCGGTAATCCTTCATACTCGCAGTTATCTTGCACTATATTGTACACTTGCACTATATTACACTTACGCTATATATGCCGAATATCACCGCATATCAGCATCTCCACGAAATCAGACCGGAACACATGACACCTCTAAATGAACTATCCAATCGCAGGCGGTCCACCCTGTTGATCGAAGGGAAAATGACTCAAAAACCGCCTTACGAGTTGGACCTCGGCACAACTGAGCTCTGCCAAACTAACCGCATCCGCATCCAGAGCCGATAAGACTGGTAGATCAGGAACAACCACTCCGTACTCTGTACGGAATGTACAACAGAAAGTAGAGTCTAGAACAAGAACATGAACCAAAGTATCTCTAGATCTTCTCTAGAAGATTTCCAGAAAACATCCCTAGTATCGTACCTACACTCATCACCCGAAGAGTCGCGTGTCTCTCCTATAGATGAACATTAGATATGAGATAAGCTTAACGAGACAACCAACAACCACACCCACCCCCTACAAAAAAAAAACAAACAAACAACAAGAATATAAATGACCAGAACCAAGTGCATACATCCATACATCCATACCAATTCCTCAGCCCCAGACACGAGAACTACCTCGGGAAAACGAGGGATCCCCAACTCCGCACCCGTCAATTTTCGATCTGGAGAGCCATGACGCCTTCGGGATCTCTGAAATGCGGTCTTTTTTCGGTCGGAGCCCTGGTTGGTCTGCCGAGGTATCTATCGGCTTATTTTCGCCTTTGGTTCGGGTTGGGGTTCTGGGGTACTCCAGGCACTCAAGCTCATTTGGCGGGGACTCCATTTACTTTAAGAACAGCGAAACCCACTCCGGATTTATTTATTTAGGACCAACTGAGACATGACTAAATGTTCATTACGTGGAGGGTTCTTGTAAGGGCCCATATATTATTTATATTTGGGTTCCAAATTTATGAACTGAAAAGGTACTAATAACGCTTTCCTTCAATATCGGTCATTTCCTCATCTCAACGAACTCTTGGAAAAGCTCTATACACCATTGGCTGATTTTCTCCCGAAGAGGAAGTCGCCGCTAGTCCTGGAGAGCGACCTTGTGAGAGGTGGACCGAGCTTTAAGAACCTTGGAAGTGGGGATGGATCATCGCGGTATTCCATGAATTCTGATTGGTCGTCGTGGAATGACTCAGCGTACATGTAAGTGGACCAATACGTACGTTGTAACTAACCGGCCCTGCTTGCCAGGGTCTGTAATTTTGGTAACAAATGTAAGGGCCGGTTAGTAAGGGGCAAATTCATTATTACGCCGGATTAATTAAAGCGCCGGTACCAGTTCGTACTCGTCAACACCGGGTTCGTTATAACGAGATCGCGGGGTGCATGAAGCATACGGAGTACGCAGTACGGCGTACATCTACTGGCACATGCTGTGAGTCGAGAATATACGACGCCCATTCTTTTTTATTATTTTATCAACCTTCTTTTAGCAAACGAAAAGACTGAATTAACCGAAAACTAGCGCTAGACAATAAACACTGCCGGATTGATGACCATATTCAAATATCTTGCTCACTTCTACCTGAATTTTCTATCCTCTTTTAGCCTGTGCAACAATTTTGACTGTAAGAGCA